CCCCCCCCCCCCCCCCCCCCCATCTTCTCCCCGCTGGAAAAAAAAAGTGCGCGTACGCCGATGAAGGTATGTTTTACGTTAAATATAGTGTTGGATTGCATTCCTTTGCATTCATTTAATTAACCATTCCTTACATCAGTCAGACATCAGTCAGACATTAAGTCATTCGTTCCTTTGTTTGCTTACTCTCGTGTTTGTTATGAAAAACGCTTTTTGTTGTTTGTTTTATTAACTTTTCAGGTGAAAAGTGCAGGATGGCATCTGCAGCCCTTTGGTGCCAAAGTGCGTGTTATGCTTTGAATAAGACATTCGACTGCAAGGGGCCACCTGCGCATTCTCTTTCTATCAAACAATGCAATGATTATAACTGCACTCTGGGATGTGACAGCACACAAAATTGTGATCAGCAATGTCATGGTGAATGTCTTCTGGAATGTACAAGCAGACCGACACTTAAGCAGAATTGCGACAACGGTGAATGTGATATGGTGTGCCACGGTCAGAATTGTGTGCAGAATTGCAATTCTGGTGCTAGGAAATGCAGTCTGCGATGTGACAGCAAACAACAATGTACGCAGAATTGCAACAATGGCGAATGTGATATGGTGTGCCACGGTCAGAATTGTGTGCAGAATTGCAATTCTGATGGTAGTAAATGCAGTCTGCGATGTGACAGCAAACAACAATGTACGCAGATATGCAACAATGGCGAATGTGACATGGAGTGCCACGGTCAGAATTGTGAGCAGCAGTGCAATTCTGGTGCTAGTAAATGCAGTCTGCAATGCCACAGCAAACAACCTTGTACGCAGATATGCAACCATGGTGAGTGTACACTGGAATGCCATGGACCAAACTGTACGCAAAAATGTAACGGGAATCAAGTCAGCTGCCAGCCGAAGTGTCAAGTTCCAAATGACCCAATCCAATGCGAGCACACTTGTTTCGCCCACGATAACAAGTGCACCTCTACTGCTACTACGACGGAGAAAACTACTGTACCGCTCAGAACAGCCTCGGATCATCCTTGCAGGCATTTTTGCTCAGGTGAGTGGTCAAACTGCAGTAGCTTTTGTTACAGTGGCCGGTATTGCTTAGACATTACGACAAGGGAATGAAACAAAACCTATGATTAGCAACACTTTTCGCTCTCAATTACGCTTCATCTATACAATAAGTAATTTCTAAAGTGAGTTCTGTAGAATGGTAATCTGCATAGAGAACCTTGTCAGCTGTTTATTAAGAGAAGGTGCGGAATATGATCTTAGTTTCATCATATTTTAATAGTAAGACCTTACATCCTCATACACTAAACTCCGATAGAACAGTCAACACCGCTATCATCATCTCCACCACCGTCTCCATCCCTGACAGCCACGAAAACATCTTCTTGGTCGTCTTCATCGTCATTGGCATCATTATCATTTTCGGCATCATCTTTAAAAACTGTAACATCACCATCGCCAACAGTGTCGACACCTTCATCATCACCAGTGGCATCAGAGGACAGAAGTCTTGAATTCAATAATATTTTGTCGATAACAGCCACGACAACATCAGTAGCCGCGGCATCATTACTTTCATTATCGTCATCTTTTTGGTCATCTTCATCGTCATCAGCATCATTATCATTACCGGGATAATCCTTAAAAACTGCATCACTTTCATTACCACCACCGGTAACAGTATCAACACCCTCTTTGTCACCAATGGCATCAGAGGACAGAGGTCTTGAATCCAAAAACACTTCTCGAACGGAAGAATTGGTACGTATATGTATGTTGTTAACTAAGAAGGGAATTAAGATTGTTGTATAATGACAAAGATTTAATGTACAACATAAAGGGCACATTCCCTTGCGATACACAGCGTGCAATCCCGCGCGGGCAAGATCCCATCCTGTCCGATCGGGTAACCAATCCCAATGCCAGATTTGGTTCACCTTAAACACTCGTGGAGCTAGCTATATAATATTGTTCTGGGAAAAGTTTTCCTATTCGAGGCGATGACAAAAACTGAAAACTGAAAAAAAACAACTCTGATTAGTCTGTTATAATCAGCTCATGATTCCGTTTTTTTAATGACGCTCGCTCAGTGAAATATCTAGTATAAAGTTTAAGTGTAGACTACCTACTAATTTCCAAAGTAGTGAAACATCTTAAAAAGAATTGTGGGAGTTTCGTCTCAGTGACTATTGTAAACTGCTTCATTTATTTACTTCCTACAATTGTGGGAGGTGCGGTGTTTTCATGGTAAAGTTAGTGCGCTCGTCTCTGGATCGAGCGGTCCGGGTTCGAGCCCCGTCCTGCAGGGACATTACATTATGTTTAGTTAGGAAGACACTTTACTTGCACAGTGCCTCGCTCCACCCAGGTACCGGTGTATAAATGGATATTGGCGAAGGTAATGCCGGAGGTAACCCTGCGATGGACTAACATCCCATCCAGGGGTGAGTAGAAATACTCTTAGTCGCTTCATGTTACAGAAACCGGGATAAGCTCCAACATGATGAGCCACTTGGCTCGTATTAACCCTCGAAAACTAAATTCCAAACTCCCAAGAGTGCAAATCCACTTTATGTTTCATGTTAACAATTTCCATTCCAGGTGACAGTGTTTCTTTCTGCCTTGAACAAAACCAATGTCCGGCAAGGGTCGTCATTGAAGGTATCCGTAACTTTTTTTACTAAACTAAAGTAGCTAAGATAATTAAATTTATAATATTTATTTACTTCAGAAACATTTTTGCTCTACATCATAAACTAGCCTACCCCTAAGGAAAAAGTCAGTTCAGTCACCGCCCGTCCATAAGCGATATATCATACTAAGAATGTGACGTGTTCCTTCACAATGCGAAGATCGCCGACAGCTGAAACTAATTTAATAAGCTCCTTATTCATTGCAATGAACTTTCATGTTTTTCTCATTGGGCTCTCTCGAATAATAGTTAATGACAACTGCTGTATTGATTGAGTTCGTAAAATTTACTCGCACAAGGCCGAGCTAAGGGTTGAAATAAAATGGCCGAGGGAAATCTCAAAGCCGCCCTATTAAAAATAACCAGTCTGTAATTCATATAAAAATGTTACAATCTGTTACAAACATTGTTGACAAATAAACTTGACAGCTACCAAAACGCGGAACGCTTTGCAATCGTCTTAAAGGTAAAGCAGCTTGGAAAGGATATGGGGAGGAGGTCGGTATTCAAATAGAAACGTCCTCACAGGATGAGAAATCCGAGTAAATGGACGCGTACTTAAGAGAAGTTACCAAGTAAGAATCTGCCAAGAGGGTATACAACGCATTTACATTTCCCCAATCCCTACTACACGCAACGTGCGTTCTTTCATGCCACCTACAGTAACAACATAGCTTTATAAAAAGCTAAAATAACCCAAATGGAAAAAGAATAAACTTCCATTCGCAAGCAATATTCAATTTATTTCATGCCGGTTTGTTCGTACTGATTTTTATCGAATATTTAGGTACATGTAACTCAGAGTATTTTTGTCATGTTTGTTTTCAGGATGTTGTCACTATATTAGAAAACATCATGGAACAGTCTAAAAACACATCTCATCATCAAGTGCAACCGAGTTCAATAACAGAGCAGGAACAAAAAGAAGAAATCTTCAAAATGGCATTTGCCTTTGAAGATTTTGCTCGTAAATATGCTCAATATCATCTCAATGAATCAGTGCCTCAGTTGAACATTGCTAACAACAAACTCGGTAAGTGGAAATACTTTAATTTAAATCATTCCAATCTGGGAAAAGGATGCAACAATATTATATCATAGCAGTTTTTCTCCGAAAACGGGAATATTCCAAACTTTAATTTATTGCAACCATTTTGAAATCTCTGGTGATCCTAGCTATCTGCCAATAATAATTGGCTTTTAACAATGCGATTTGTTCACGAATCGCACCATTTTTTACTCTAAATCACATGTTTTCCCAGCCAATGAGAATGGAAAACAAAATCATATTTTAAGGCTTGTTTTGTTTTCTGTTTCGCAAACAAAGTGAAATGGTAACGCATTTCCGGTTCTGCTTTTTTAACAAACGTGCTGATTGGATCAACAAAATATATCGGTACCCACCGAACAAAATCCTATTTTAGGCGATTAAATTGCGCGAATTCAAAATTTATGTAATAAAGTGGCAATACAACTGCATGTCGTGCAAGTTTGGTCTGAAATCATACTTGTGATTTCAAATCGAACTCACATTGCGCACTTGTCCGATTTTAGAATCACGCGTATGATTTAAGACCGAATTGCACTGCACTCAGTTCAATTACCATTATCAATAAAATATTAAAATAATGAGCCCGTCAAACATCTATAGAAACACTTACAAATTGTAATGGCTTTCAAATATTTTTGCTTTAGTTAATGTCCAGTAAAAATATGTCGAAGATCGGAAGCTGCAATTTGACATATATATGCGAACTGATTTGTCCACGGAAGATATTTTAAAAGTCTTGCCTTTTTATCATTCTCATCCTGTTGTTTCTTAACACACAGTTATGCATATGCAACGAGTTTTCAGCCAAAATGCGAGTGATTTTCATCTCGAGGGACCAGTAAAACAGAACTTCATCAACATTCCTTCAAGCAATTTCCACAACAACGGTTTGTTTAACCCGCTTTATGAACGATGCATTACATATTAAGTAAGAGCATTAAAAGAAAGTGTTTTCCTAATTTCCATAATACAATGCCAAATGCCACCAAATGTAAAAACAAATTGGATTTAACAAAAAAAAAAAAAAAAAAA